CTTTGTAATGGTCAGGAAATTAATCTCTTTTAGTAGCTGTATTCCAAATTTCTTACATATGAGTGAACACTTGCAGCATTGCAACTACTTGTACTTATCAGAGGTTTTTCAATCAGGAGTCGTCAATTCTTAGACCTGTGTTTTTTTATCATTGCTGGCAGTGCCATTTAGACATCTTCCTTTAGAACCATCAGGACTGGATCAGATACTAACTTCCGAACGTGTTGACTGTCAACTCAATTCTTTTTGTAAGAGTGACTCTATATGGCTTGTTTAAATTTTCTTCATCCTCAACTGGAACATGAAGGTGAGCAATTACGTCTTCTCTACAGTTGGCTTCTGGACTTCATCTTACTAATGATGTCGAGCTCTTTGCGTCATCTGTTTCCTCATGTTTAGTAAATGTGATTCCTGGACCTCTTGTTGGGTGAGGTCCACGTATATAGTTGCATTTATGTTGTTAAGGAAAGGGTTTTGCAATGAGTAAATGATTGACCTTGCAGAATTCTACCAGGCTATCTTTTAACATTTTTATATTATAAGTGCAACATTTTTAAGCTTCCAGTTCTTTTTGTTTTCTTTTTTCATTCTTTTTTTAATTATTATTAATTTTAATGAAAACTTAAAGAGATTTTGGATTTTCCATTCATTCTTTGTTGCACTTTTCTCCCTGCCCACCCCACCCCTCCAGTTCCTTCTTCTCTTTGAAAAGTAAAAGTTCTTCCATTGTTATACAATCCCTTCCCTCAAGTCTTTTTGTTTTCAAGCTTTGAATCCAAGTCATTAGAAATTATCAATTCTTCTGGGTTTCATGTTTGATCAATTTCAGCCTAAAGAAGTTGGTAAAAATCTTCAGTTTCTTTTTCTTAGTCATTGTTGATTGTGAGTAAATAAGGGTTCTATTAACTGGTCTTCCTTGTAGACATAGAGCTCTTATCACTGAAAACATTGGTCTTTGAGAGAGATCTTAAAGGTTCTTTGGATTATGAACGTGACAATGTATCTCTTTTCCTCATTCCTGGCATAATAGACTAGATGATTGTCCAAATCTGTGTCCACTCTCCATCAATTTCAGCTCACTAATGTCTCGGACACTGCTCTTTATACATCTCAGTTTCTTTTTTATGACTTCTCATTTTCCTAGATTGATATTTTGTGCATTCTACTTGGCAATTACTAATGGACATTGGCAGCTGTTTTTTTTCTCCTTTTGAGCTATGCCACATCAGCAAATGAAGGTGCCGAGAGCTTTGCTCCATCCTTATAATTAACAATAACTCTACTTTCAGTTAGCAGCTCTTTTCCTGGGTTTTAAGTGCCACGGATCCATCTTCTGGCACGATGTATCAGACAGTTGTTGTGGATTGCCTTCGAGTCGAGCACGACTCATAGCGACCCTGTGAACAAAAGACCTGAAGCCCCTCTACAACTATTGACATTTATCAAAGTTCTTAAAATTTCCTGAGGCTTGTTATTCATAAGTTTTTCATGCAGTATTTTTTTGGGGGGGGACGCGGGAAGTAAATGGCCACACACTCCTTCCTGTTGGTATTGTTAAGTGCCATCGACTCAGCTCTGCCTCATAGTGACCTCATGTGCAGCAGAGCAAAGCCCTGCCTGATCCTGCTTCAGCCTCCTAATTGCTGCTCTGCCAAAGCAGTGTTGCAGTCACTTTGTCAGCCTGTTTTGCTCAGAGTCTTCCTTCCCTTTCCTTACTTTCTGATTTTCCCTCTATAATGTTCTTTTCCTTCCTGTTGGTGTTAGGTGCCGTCGAGTTATTGAGGACTCCTTCCTACTCTGTCTTATTTTGAAAGCTCTCCTGAAACCTGAAATCTCTATTGAAGCTTTGTCTCTATTAGTGTTTAAAATGCTGGTGATGTAGCTTCCAGCATCCCATTGGCATGCAAGCCACTGCAGTACAATAGACTGGCAGATGGATAGTGTAGATAATGTGAAGTCAAAAGTAAAGTTTAATATTAGTTGAAACATTATCATGGATTTTAAAAGTCAAATTATCAGTTCCTCTCATGAACACGTCAAAGTTTATATACAGAAATTCTGGTTGCCCAGTAAGATAAATTTTACATGAATATTGTCATTGATATAACATGCTGATCAAGATTTTTAAAAATGTATAATATTGACATGCCTGCTTATTTGGATATCAGAGAGATATATATTTCCAATCCACCACTTGATGGTTTTATCAGTGCCTCTGGTTTTAAAAATATGTACATTACTTGGGCCATGTTGTCAGGAGCGGTCGGGCCTTGGAAAAAGACATCATCCTGGGAAAAATGGAGGGTCGGAGAAAGAGAGGAAGATTTTCAACCGGATGCATTGACACAGAGACTGTACCAAAGGACTCTAGCCTAGTATCGTGAAGATGGCACCATATAACACGAAGTTCAAATCCTGTTTCTCCCTGGCTCACATCAGTTGCTGTGACTCAGTAGCACCTAACAACAACACATGCATTATTACACATACATTGTTTGGTTAAGCTATTATTCACAGGGCTAGAACGGGTGACAGATGTTTGCCATTTATTTATCACTCTTATGCGTACACAAGGGAACTCCCTTGGCATTGTCTATGTAGACAGATGCACTGCCAACCTGAAGGTAGCTGGTTCAAATTAACTAGCAGCTCCATGGGATAAAGATGGACAGTCTCCTTCTGTGCAATTTTTAACCTACAAAAAGCCCACTGAATGGTGTGCTGGGATTTGGCTCTGACTTGATAGGAATTAATTGAGTTGTTGTTGTTGTTGTTGTTGTTAAGTGCCGTAGAGTCATAACAACCCCATGAGTGAAAGACTTGGACACTTGTGTGACTTTCATCCTTTCTCCAGGTTCATAGGGTTTCCAGAGGCAAGCTATTACCGAAGTGGGTGCCACTCCTGTTTCCAAATTTGTTAGTCATTTAAATATATGGTCAGAAACTTTCTTTGTATTCCAAGTTCTCTTGCCAAGTGCCTTTTCCTACCTGTAGTTTTCAGTCATCCCTTGCCAAATAATTATGCTTGGTGGAATATCTGACCTCTTCAAGCATTTTTATAGGTTGAAGACTTTTTTCCAAGATATTTGAATTACTTAAGCATCTTTATCATTTGGAGTGTCTTACTCATGGGCTCAATTTTGTGTATAACCTTTACTTCTTTGTTCTAAGTTGTGATAACTTTTTCTTGCCCCATGGCTACTAGCTTAGTACTATTTTGCCTTTAAAAATCTCATATTGCCTTTTGTAATAGCCCAGTGAGTACTAGTGTGAGAAACTTACCATCTTACATTTTTTTCCTGTAGCCTATACTCAATGAGTATATAACTTGATGGCACTTAACAACAACAACAACAACAAACTCAATGAGTAAGGGAATTAGAAATTGGATATGACATTTTGGCAAGCAAATAGACCTATATAGAATGAATCATTGAACAATGTTAAGTGAAATATGATAGAAGGCATAATATGAAAGACATGTCTCCTCAAAGTGGAAGCCATCTTTGCTTATTTACAATAATTATACATGTTTTAAAAATAAAAGTTATATTTTAGCATTATGAATTGTATTCACCTTTCTGTGACAGGTGCTCCATATGACTTATATAATGGCAGTGTGTCACCTTGATTTCACCATTTTTCATGGACAGAATTTAAAAATTACTTTCCTCTGCATTCCTTTTATCAATTTTCAATAAAAGTCACTTCTATAGAATGCTTTTTTTAAAAACATGTATAATTATTGTAAATAAGCAAAGATGGCTTCCGCTTTGAGGAGACATGTCTTTCATATTATGCCTTCTGTCGTAATTAAATTTATTCTTCAAGCTATTCTTCGTGTTACTTACTTGAATACAAAATACACACTAAATATTTCCTGTATAAGTTAGTATACGTTAGTGTAAGGTAGTATTGTCTTTCTGATAATAAGAATTACAAAATAGACCTGATATCCAAATTTCATCTGATTTCAGAAAATACTAAGGCAAAATTAATGGGTCTCTGGGCTCCAGAGACCTGACAGCAAATAAAAGATTAAAAACTGTGATTTCATGTAACTTATATTCTATAGAATGAACACAAGAAATTAGTTAGGAATTTAAATAAACTTAATCATATGAATAATTCATTTCAAGTACATTTTAATATATATAAAATTATTTAAGATTATCAGATGATAGTAAGTGCTATGGAAAATAATAAACTAGAGACTGTCAGGAGCATGGCTAACTTGTAAAGCAAGATTAGCCCTGTACTGTAAAACCAGTAAGACTAATTCCATCTTGGCTAGAACATCTGCTTGGCAATAAACAACTCAAGGAAGTAGGATGTTAATGAATAAGAGTGACGAAAGGTCTCAGACCTTAGGGAATGTAATCTACCGAAACTCTTTGTTTCTTAGAGCTCACAATAAGGTATGCTGGAAACCATCTTTGTATTGTGCTGAGGTCTGTGAGAGTTAATGTTTGACCTGATAGTCAACATCTCGGATGGAAAGAGATGCTGCTCATTGCAGGATCACTCAAAATTACTAAAAGTAGAAATCAGCTAAATAGTAAAAGGAAACAAAATGCATTGTAGTAGATGTTGAAATAGAACTTAGCCATTAAATGCCATATTTCAGCATTTTAATTTTATGAAGTAGGCTACAAAGATATCTGCCTGTCCTACTAGCTACACCATTTAATTTGAAAAAAAAAACTAATTATTTTTCACTAGTTGTGTATTTATGGATGACTTATTTTTTAAAATTTTTCTAGTTTTCAGAATGTCTAATAGTATAGACTATTAGCACTTTTATAATGAGGAAAAAAATTAATGATTGTTAAGGCTTTCTTCCATGTTTATGTTCTTGTTTCATGATGTTCAATACCTTTTTTTTCTTTTAGTTTTGAAGTAGGTTACCAGTACTTAATGATAATGATGTTTTCACTTAACTTGTATTTCAAGGCAAATTTTTAAAAGTATACACCAGGATTCTATTGTTTTCCCCACAGACAGCCTTCTGATTGATTATCAGTTTACCTTCAGCTTATTACAGGAAGATGATCGCCACCACACTGCCATAAACTTCATAGCAAACCCAGAACAGGTGAGGAAAGCTCATGCAGCTCCTGTCATGCTGGACTTCTCTATCATATTTCACTGACTTTTTACCTCTTCTGAATACTATCACTTTGTAGGACTTTTGTACAAAAGGCTGACCTTGTACTTCTTTTCTTTTCATGAAGTATCTGTTTCCTTGAGTTTTGGAGAATTTTTGCACTCTAGAAGCATGTGGCTGGGATTGGTGAGCAGTAGGGTAGAATGTTGATTCACTACGGGAAGTGAGATGATGTGACAAGGCCTCCTATTTAAAAACTCAGTAGGAACCTTGGTCCTGTGGCCCTCAGGCATGGTTTAAATTATTTTTGTCAAACATTCTTTTACGTGGTATAGCACTTGTCTGTGCGTTGCTGTACAGAGGTAACCCATGGTTGCTATGATGCTAAACACTGTGAAACTGATTTGTCAAATGCAATAATGGTTACCCATGGTGGACAGTGTTTGGTGGAGCTCCCCAATTAAAACAAGCTTGGAAGCAGGAGTGGCATCCACTTCCAAAATGGCTTGCCTCCAGAAACTCTATGAACATGGAGAAATGACCAAAGTTATACAAGCATTCAGGTCTTTCATTCATAGGATTGTTATGAGTCATCTATGACTTGACAGCACTTAACAACAACAACAACAACAACAACAACAGATTTCATGTAGGGGGTGTTATGTTTAAGTGGAAGAATTCTTGCCTTTTCTACAAGAGACCTAGATTTAATATCAAGCCAGTGCAGCTCGGGGGACAGCCACCTCTCAATTGTCCTGTATAATAAAAATTAGATAGCTTAATTATTGATGCATTTTCTATAGAGGGAGCGCTGTTGGCTTCATGGTATGATACTGTGTTGCAATCCTGAAGGCATGCATTTTGAAACCAGCAGCTGCTCTGTGGAAGGGCAGGCAATCTCCTCCCATGAGATTAAGTGCCTTTGAAAACCCTCTGGAGGGTCGGCTATGGGTTGGTTCCAACTCAGTCAACAACAACAGCATTTTCTGTATTTTTATAATAGATTTTATTTTCATGCAATATATACTAATTCTAGCTAATGCTCCATGGGAACAGTTTGCTCTATTACCTGACCTCACTCAAAGCACCCATGTTTAACCAGTGATTTATATGGTGATTGTCATTATTTGTTGGCATAATGCCAATAGCCTTTCTCGTGTAGAATTTTCTCCTCTTGAGCCTGTGTGCTTCATCTTGGGCTTAACCTATTACATGATATATTCTATTAATATATGAAACTGGGATTGATAGAGGTTAAAATTAAAATTAAAAAGATTTTATAATTTTATTTTTTTTAATTGTTGAAAGAATGTGCAGTGAAACATATAGCCTTTAAACAATTTCTGGTTGGCTGATTGAGTAACACAGACTATGTTCTTCAGTTTCTGTAACAATTCCCTACATCACTTTTCAAATTGTTTTTCTCATTTACAAAAAGCTCACTGTACCTAACCTTCCTCTCTGACCATTTGAGTTTGTCAACTTGTCAAAAGTTTGTCAACTTGTTCCCGTATTTACAGTTCTTCAAATGACAGGACTATATCAAGGCAAATCTTCTTCATTTAATAAGTAAATACTGCTTGATTTAAAGAAGACTTCAGAAAATACTTTTGGCTTAAAGTTTAAAGTTTAAAGATTATCTCATGGCAGCAGTTTCTGAGCTTCATCTGACCTAAATTATTCCAGAAATTCTGTATTCCAAGACAACTTGAATTCTGTTCTACAGTGCCCATCTTTTGGCAAGGAATCTGAAACTCAGTGCCACTTAAGTAACTACTCTCCATTAGCCTCTTCCATATATGTTTCTGTTAATTATTAATAAACTTGATCTCTATATATTTGCTATTTTATATTAAAATAAGGAATCCTAATCAGCCAGTGGGGGGATGGTGTGTTGGAATCACTGAGACTGGCTCAGCACAGGGCAGGCTTCAGAGCTGCTATACGTAGGGTCACTATGGGTCACAGGCAACTCAGTGGCACATAACAGTAACAACCATCTACATATGCGTTTATCACACATTTTTAAAATGAAAAACTCGAAATTGACATTTATAAAGTTAAATGTTGACGTGTTTTGTTAGTGAAATCATACAGAAAAACTGAGTCGTATACATGATGCCTAATGCAATTCGTATTTTTAAACTTAAGCTTTTCTTTTTTTGTAGTCAAATAAAAACTTGGATATTTCGATTAATGCATCAAACAACTTTAATCTCAATATTACGTGGTCTGTTGGTTCAACAGGTAAGAGAATTTTGGTGATATGTCCTTTTTAGATCTTTTTTCCATATGAAATTTGTTAAAGGATGACAATTTCCTGTTAGATAAAATATGTTGTACATAGGGTCGCTATGAGTCACAGGCGACTCGACGGCACATAACAACAACAATTGAAAAATTAAAAAAGTTATTATATGCCACAATCACTATACTGTTACAGGTATAATTAATAAGTAACAATACAAATTTTTAAAAATTTGTGACTTTATTTGCTGTATCTCTTAATTACAACTGAATGGGTGGCAAGTCTATACATGACTTATTTTGTAAAAATGCTAGTGATATGAATTACTGTGATTTTCATTAAGATAGGTTACAGTTTTTTCCTTCATCTGTTTTAATGTCATATACATTATTAAGAACTGTTTAAAAGGAATATACGATTAGGTATTATTTGCATGACAACAGTTCAGAATAATAGATGCATAGCAAAGTGGACTGGGAGGGGGATGTGCAAAAATGAAAGAATATTTTTAAAGAGAAAAGTGATCTGGAGGGGGTAGGGAGAAAAATGTGCAACAATGAATGAATGAAAATCCACGTTTTCTGTAAACTTTCGTTAAAATCTCAATTAAAAAGTTACTGAATAGGAAAAAAAAAGATCGGTTACTTCTTTAGTCAATGAAGAGGTTGGGATTTCAATTATTTGGCTCAATTTTTAAGCTTCAAGTTTAACTATTGCTCTTAATAGTGATTAAAAAAAGTCCATTCTTTCTGTGTATAGTGTATACTGATAAAAGTAACAAATTATTATTTTAAAACAGATATATAACTTCTTTATTAGCTGCAGTGCTGGAAAGAGAGAGGAAGCTACATTTAGTAAATCTTGCATAATAAATTTTATCGTTTGGAATTGCTGTTGTTGTTATGTGCCGTCAAGTTACCTATGACTCATGAAAGCTGCTCTGTCCTGAGCCAGTCTCAGTGACTCTAACACACTTACCCCTATTGCCCCAGTTCTGTATAAATCCATCTCATCCAGGATCTTCCTCTCCTACTCTGTGGAGCTGTGGTGGCCTAGTGGTAAGAAACTGCACTGCAATCCCAAAGTCATGCAGTCTGAATCCACCAGCTACCCCACTGGAGAAGGATGGGCAATCTCCTTTCATGTAATTAAGTACCTCTGAAAACTTGTTGGAGAGTCAGCTATGAGTTGGTTCTGATTTGACGGTACTCAACAATAGTCTTGAAATACATGGTTAATGAATGAATTGGAATGACTAGCTTTTAAAGGTGAAATCTGTATGTTGAATTAGGAAAAAACTACACTTACTTTCTATGCACTTATATCTTAAAAAGTTCTACTATTTTCCATTTTCTATATAAAAAACATGCTATTGCATAATCACACTAGAGACTGTGGAGATTGTTGTTTGTAGCATAGAGAATATAAGAATGTTTAAAAATCCATGGTTGTTTCCTAAAAATTAAACATTAATGTATATATAACTTACATAACATCATGAAAACATAGAATTCATGAATGAAGTTGCCTGTTACAGTTCTAGAAACTGTGCTTTATCTATAAAGTGTCAAAACAACTTGAATGAAAGGGAAAAGCTGGAGCAAACATTTGGGAACTTTGTTACACGTGTGCCAAAAATACAGTAAAATCCCAGCATTATGAGGCCCACTAATTTAAAATCGATGGTGATTTGTCTTAGTAATTTGCAATTTATTTCTGCATAATAAGTAGAATTCTACAAGATTTTTAAAGTTTGTCTAAAAATATATCAACCTTTCTAATCTTTGCAGAACACTGATTTTAGATGGCAAGAAATCCCTTTTAACTTTTAAATTCCCAGAATTATTAATGTTTCCCAGTTTTGATGAATATCTTTGGGGTGGAGCTGGTGAATCAGTATTTGTAAGGAATGCCTAGAGTCATTTTAGAACAGATGAACAGTTCAAGATTAGACCATTTGCTCATTATACAGACGTTAGTAACATTTACTGTTCATTACTGTAGAAATCTTGTTCCAGACTTCAGTAAATAATTATTCAGTGCCCTATAGATATTTAATTATTCATTTAGTGCAGGTTTTAAATTGTAGACTATTCCCAATGAATTTAAAGTATGATAGTTCAGTTGTGGTTAAAATATACAAATTGATTTTATTTCATTTTCTAATTGGGTAGTTGTTGGGTGCTGTCAAATTGGCACAAACTCATAGCGGACCATCCAGCAGGTTTTCAGAGATTGTAAATCACGTAGGAGGAGCCTGTCTGTTTTCCTCCCCCAGAGCAGGTGGTTCAAACCACATGTCCTTGGGTTGGTCACACAACTCCTTATCCACTGGGCAATCAAAACTCAATGATTAGATAGAAATACGCAGAAATATATTTTGAAAGAATCTCTAGAGCGGTAAGTGAAAGATCTCGGCTTTAGGTAGGGAACTGTGGTAGCATCGTGGATAAAGAACAGTGCTGCCAACCTAAAGGCAGGCTGTTTTTAAATTCATCAGCTATTTCAAGAAGAAAGATAATCAAAGTTCTTCCCATGTGATTTTTCCAGCCTCGGAAAATCCCCTGGAGGATCAGCTGTGAGTTGATTCCAACTCGAAGGCAACGAGATTTTTGTTGTGTTTTGTTTTAGATACCTGAGTTCCAAGCATCGAACAACTTGGTGGCTAGACGTTTAGGAATAATTGCTTTAAATTTCAGAGACTCATCCTTCCTCTTTAAGACATAGATGACGATAGTTTCCGCACAGGGTTGTTAATAACGAAGAATATAAAATTCCCAACCTGGTGCCCAGAAATGGTACTTAATAATTGGCAGCCCTTTAAAAATATATTTTTATACCAAATATGTTTCCAGTATATACATGGAAAATATGTTTCTTGTTATTCTAAATTGTAAAAGTAAACATTTTAATAATTATCTTTTGATAATTATGTTTTTGATGTATGTAATTATGAAGAAGTATATTATATTTTTTAAGCTCTTAAAGGTATGTTTTCTAGTGCAAATTATTTAAATTTGTTATTATTTGTTTCTTTTTAGCTGGAACGATATCTGGAGAGGAAACTCCTATAGTTTCTAAGAGTGATATAAAGGAGTACAGAGATAGCTTTTCCTATGAAAAATTTAACTTTAGAAGCAATCCTAACATCACATTCTATGTATATGTCAGCAACTTTTCCTGGCCTATTAAAATACAAGTAAGTGTTAATAATATTTCACCTTGATTGCTACTGAATATTTTTACAAGAACATGGTACACAGTTTTGTTAAAATTATGGGTTAATTGTATTTCTTGACTTGGAAAAAGCTAAAACTTGTAAAGATCCTTGCTGAAAACAGTATTGATAATGAATGCATTAATAAAACATGAATGTCTTCAAAGTCATGCCAGTAATGCAGAATATACAAAAATATATTAAAATGCTCAATGACTATTATATTTTTAAAAACTTTAAAAAGCTAGAATATTTAAGTTTTCTGGTTAATTTTATACTTTAAGGTTTAAGTTGATAAACCTTTTCTAATATCCTTCATAAAATTATTTGTCATATTAATGAAATATCTTATTAAAACTTTAGGATTGGTGGTAGCTAACAATAATTTTTTTTGTGACTCATCACTGATAATGTCTTTTTCTGTGATATATATACATACATACATATATCACACACACATATATACCTGGTTTTAATTGTTTTTGATCAAACATTCTTCTACGTGTGTAGCACTGGTCTGTCTATTTGCTGTACAGAGGTAACTCGTTACTGTGAAGCTGAACACTGTGACATTGATGTGTCAAATGCGATAATGGTTACCCCTGGTGGACAGTGTTTGGTGGAGCTCCCCAATTAAAACAAGCTTGTAAACAGGAGTGGCATCCAATTCCGAAATGGCTTGCCTCTGGAAACCCTATGAATGTGGAGAAACGATGAAAGTTATCCAAA